CGCCCTCGCCTCTTGTCTCCTTACCTTCTCTGTTTCTATCATGTTCGCGATGCAAGCCCTCCATCCAAACTTCCTTACGTAGTTCGACAGCTTCTCGATATCAACCCCCAAGCACCGGGGGGGAGAGTAATAAGGGGGGGGGGAACTCTACTAGGGGGAGGAACCCGACGCTCACGGTAATCTAACGGCTGACTCTGCAAGCAGTCTAAGTAATGGTTCACCGATATCGAATAAAAGATATACCCATGGTTCTCAGCCTCCCAGCTGGGCCAGTGGTAGTCGGGATCTCCGGCATTAAGGCGAACCATCAGACTACTGGAACAGCAGTCAGCGCCTGACTCTGCAAGTAGTCTAATGGTTCGCCATTATCGAATACGCCTCTGTTACAACACATCAATCTGTCTTGCTCTCGTATCATGCAGTCGGGGTGCCAGGCTCTAGTTGATTTCGGTATAAACTTTGGGCGTGCCACTCAGGGTCGCACGGACTATTTTCCAGGGTATTTGACGGAACGTTTTTTTTCCACGGAGCGGATCGGAGCGAAGCGGTTTTACCGCTCCGCTCCGCTTCGTGGTACTTCCCGTTGAGAAAACCGCTCCGCTTCGTGAGAATTTTGCCCTCGGACAAACCGCTCCCCTCCGCTCCGAGGAGCTTCCGAAAAATCCGTACAAGCGGTTTGTCCACGGAGCGGTTTGAGCTACTCCATCACACGAGCACGGAAAAAACCGCAATGCAGTCACGGTTAAAGCCGCAAAAAAGTCGCGGTTTTCCAACGGAGTCACGGTATTTTCTCGTTTTTTCTTTTATTCTGTTCTATTTTCACAGCAGCAAGTATGTAGTACGACAAGTTTCAACGGGAGGCAAGTGAGAAATCATGTGCTGTTGTAGTACGTGTCAGGAACGTATGAGTCCAGGAGGTATGAGGTATTAGTACTGGCAAGTTTCAACAAGAGGCAAGTGAGGAATCATCTGCTGTTCTACGTGTTGCAGGAACAGAGGAGTCGAGGAGTTATCGATGGGGGGAACGGTCCCTTTCTGAATAATTGATTACATGGGCTGTCCTAGCGGCGAGGACGCACACGGTGCCACCGGTGGCCTCCGACCACTTCACACCGTGCGGAAAATCGCTTTACGGTATACCAAACCCAACCTTTTTCACGAAATTGCAGGTACTCCGTCGATTTTGTACGGATATCCGTGCGGTTTCGACGGGTTTTTTTGAATGAAAACCGTCCTCAACCCCACCGTTTCGCGCGGTTTATGCTACGGAGTAAACAAAACCGCTCCGTGATAAAAAACGCACTACAGATAAACCGTTCCGTGGCATGAAAAAAAAAAAACGCCCCGCTCCATGGGACTTTTGCCCGCGGATGAACCGCTCCGCACCGCATGACATTATCACATGAAAAAAACGCTCCGCTCCGCTCCGTGGAACTTGACAAAAGAAAAAAAACGCTCCGCGGAACACAGAGCGCTTCTACTCCGTGAGTTACCCTGCTGTTTTCCTGCTACTGCTGTCTTAGGCCAATGCCTTCAAGTTCTACGATATAACGATTTTCCGTGGTATGTTTTTTCTCCAGATCGTTGCTGTTACTATCTTACATGTACACCTACCTAGGCGGGTGTGGGAAGCGTTCCCCGTTCTCCTTTTATTTTATTTTGATCGGTCTCCTCGACGCTCTTTCTCGTTTGGTGCGGTAGCTGGTCTTTCTTTTTTTATCATTTTGTTTCTCTTCCGAGTGGTTTTTGTACCCTATTTTTTTCTGTTTCTTCGTGGGGTCGTGTGTGCCGGGTTTTGAGACCACGGGCTCCCAATTTTTTTTTAGAGCTAATGTGAGAAACAACAACAACAACAAACCTACCTACCTGTACCTGGTACACCAGTGGGCACGATCTCTCTTGGATGAAAAAGCAGAAACAATAGCATTACAATTAACTGAGCTCTGTACGGAACAGATACTGATTTTGCGTTCAGCAGCAGGCTGCCAAGGGCCTGAAGTCGGCTCATGGTTCATAACCACCGCAGCAGTTACAAAGCAGTGCTGCCGAAAGCCTACTCTCTCTTCTCTGGCCTGCGTCCTCAACATACTCTGTCTGCCGGCGCACTATTGTACCAACCTGGTTAGTATTTCAGGGGTGTTAACGCCCTGGTCCGGGAGTGTGAAGAAAACTCCGAGTGTCGCCATGTACTCGTGGAGACTCGGGTCAGCACCTACGTCTACATCCCCGTCAACCTTAGCAGGAGAGGCGGCGTAGGAGGAAGTCGAAAACAGCGCACCGATTAACTCTCGTTTTCTTCTGCTGCTGCTGCTGCTGCTGCTGCAACCATTTCGACGGCCGCTGATCACAGTCATCTGCTCTCGAAACTGGCATGAGCGATGCCATCGCAGCAACAGGGGCGCACGCGCCAACATCATGGGGTAGAGATGGCACGAGAGAACGAGTTTCAACACCACACAGCAGCAGCATAGCAGCAGCGCAGCTCCTTCACGAGCAGCAGAGCGCGCCCACGGGAGCGTTACTTTTGTCCCCTGTCACAACATGCTATTTTTTCTAGAATGACAAAATAAAGATGCGCGTCACCTGCTCTCACTGCCACTCTCCGCTCTCGGCTCTGTCAAGCAGCTGGTGTCGGAACTACCCACACACATTTCCTCCCCGTTCCTCCAAGGTATGCCGGAGAAGTCTTCCCTTGAGGAAGCGAGCGTTAAAGTTGCAATCTTCTCCGAGATGATGCTTGTGGGTTTGCGACGGCGGAGGTTACGCGCGCCCGGTTCATGTGTACAGCATGCAGCAACGTCACATGCTTCTTCATTGCTATGTTCCGCGTTCCTCATGTTGATCTAAAGAGCTGCACCCGCCCCCCGCTATCCTGTTGTCATAGACCAGATCTTGCAAGCCCAACCTCTTCTCCCCCGTTGCGGATACCCTGACCACTGTTATTACTGCTCCCATCCTGCCTTTTCTATTGGAACGAATAACGCACAGCAGTTGAGTACTCGTACACGCACGACAAAACAAGACACGTTTGTGTGCGGTTCAACAAGCAAAAATGGAGAAGGCCAAAGCATTCGACAAGATGTCCATCCTCTTCGACTTCGACGGGACAATAGGAGATACCGAGACCCCGGCGATGGAGGTCGCTTTCTGGGAGCTGGCGCCGTACCTTCCCGACACCAGTGAGTCGCCCCATCCCCCGACCAAACCGCTTCATGTAGACTATTTTTGCTCGATTCCTCCGCCTCTTCAACTACACTTTAGGTCATGCAATATGGTACACTTCTCCTACATCGTGGGTATCGTCTCCACGTCGCGGTCCTTCAGTATAATAGTGCCGGTACATTCGCTTATGTGGCAACCAGATTGGCAGGCACTATACCAGGCACCGGCACTATGTTAGTCCTGGCCATGAGTTGTGCCAATGCCGACACTACTGAGCATTCGAGGTCCGTGAAATATTGGCAGCCTCTGTTGAAGAGGAACTGAAGGGCATAGGACGTCACCTGGCGGAGTGCTGAGTACTAAGGGGCTACCACGGTACAACATGTTTTGAGTTTTGCGTTCGGGAGGTGGCGGTGCTCGAAAACAACCGACGTGCTACAACGCTCTTTGTGCGAGAATAAAGTTGCGAGAAAAGTCCAATTGTTTTGGCAGCTTTGCTTTTGATCGGGAAGTTTTGTCAGAAACATTTGAAAAATACTGGATGGAATGGGGTGTACTCTTTTGTTTTGCATGTCTTAGCGGTTAGACCATTGACCACGCGTCCTCGAGAGGACGGAGCATTGTTCCCACAGGACCGATCACCGATGGCCAATCGTTCCTTTCTACTTTGCCAAAGGTGGCTC